CCTTTCTAGAAGCCCAAGGTCAACTTTTGTTCTCTGCACCTGACCGGAACTAGATGGGTGGAAATGCCAGCGTGGCAGAGGAAGATTGGATCATGTGATGGACTTGTGGGTGTGGGGGCAAGGTTTTGAACTGGGTGGGAAACCCAGGAAGCTTTCAGATTCGGGTTTCCACAGATGTACCAACATGTCTCTCTTATTAAATTGGAAGTTTAAGGATAGTTCTGCCTTGGACTCTGATTTATTTTTGGATGATATGTGGAATGCCGACATTCACTTTTTTAGTGCCGTTGGTCACTAAATGAACTGTTGGGAGTTGAGGACTATATCCCAAAAGTATTATTTTTGTTGTTACAACAAAGCTAACCCTTTGTATGATGTAATGAAAATATACAATATATTACATTAACTCAGAATACTATTGGTCAGATATATTTTCACATGAATTGAAAAATGTCTTACAGAAATGTACACATCAACAGCCTTCTATACAACAGCTTTAAAAGCAAATAAGTCAGCCTTGACTTCTGGCGACTGGTTGGACAATCCCTGCAGGATTTTCAGCAGTAATATTCTATTGCCTTCCTCCAGGGCTCAGATACTGTCCAAAGCCACCCAGCTAACTCTGTGCCCAGGTTCAGGACTGGAATTCATGAACTCTCAGCTTTAGCCTGGGATCTTATGGCAAATTGCCACCATCTTGGATTTGCAATTCTTGTGGATAAAATGAAAAGTTGGCATTACCCAGAAGAAAGCAAAATTACAATACAATATTGCAATAAAGCAGCACACTGAGTTTGCTTCTAGTTGAGCCGAATGACACTCCTATTAGCAGAAGAGAGGAAAATGTCTTTCATCTCTGTAGACTGCCTGAAAACTGCTTCAGATGAATGGGAAACTCTTTGTTATGAGAGAATGCAAGAGAGATTAGTTAAACAAGTATTCCTGCTGGTGCGATCCTTCCAATTCTACTTAAAACTTTTCATCTGTTTGTACTGTTTCTATCCTTTGTCAGATTTAACCTACAGCCCTTGAACAAAACTCAAAAGCACATGCAGTTTTGCACATAATAAATAGTGTCTGTCACCCCCTAAAAGATAAAAACACAAAATACATACAGAGTTTTCAAGATTCACCAAGAAGAATCCCATTCTGGCAGTATCTTAACACATTAAAGTGCTCAGTATGTTTAATTTCTCACCTAAGCTTATGCAGGAATAACATATTTATATTACATTTTAGCAAACGTGGGGTGAAGCAAATAAATATCATGTTGTCACCTACCTATTAGTTCTTTATTTCGGACATCTAAGGCCATATTCCGTAAAGCTGTTGCAACCGCACATACCACCCGATCATTGTCTATTCGAAGAAGTTCTACTAGTATAGGCAGGCCTTTTTCTTTCCGTACTGCGGCACGGATATATACTGACCACTGCAGGAAGGGACGGAGGGGGGGAATGAACATGACAAAGCAGATAAGTTTCATCAACTGAAGGCTATGGCAAAAGTTATTTAGAAATGGAAAATAATAATAAAAAGACATCATTTTATATAAATGATGTACTATCTCCCTCTGTACTATCTCCATGGCCATACCTCCCAGGGAGAGGAAAAGGGGAATCAAGAAAGGAGCTGAGAATCTGTTCAATTAGCACCAGTTGCTCCCTGGTATGGGGCATCTGACAACAGGACCCTTTGAATCAGGTTGGGTATTGGCTGTCCCAAGCATGAAGTGCTCTTTGAAGAATTGGGAGCTACAAGCAACATCTTACATGTGACATCTTCCAAACATTACAAGCTGAATGGCAGAGAGCATCTTTTGACCCTACCTTGATTAATGGTTTTTTGCCTGAGATTTGGAAGAACATATCCTTTTTCCTGACAAATGTTGAAAATAAATTCCCATATGGAAACACTAGTAGGAATCAGGACAAGCAAAGAGAAGCTCAGGAAAAAAATCCTTTCTGAGGTAATTAAATATTGTAGGTGAGGTACTGATTCCTTGCATTAAGCTATTTAGTCCATGACCCGACAAATGCGCGCACGACAAACGCATGCTGACAAAACCACGGCGAGAAAGCCGTGCCGTCATTAGCGGG